TGGCAAAATTGACAAGTGTTCATATTGTTCCATTACCAGATTTTCTTGTATATCCACATGGTATAAAAGATGAAAAATTGCACTTGACAAAATTAATCAAAAGACTATTGAAATTAATTTTTTGGCCACGTAAATATGTTTTAAGAAATGATGAAACTGATCATAGTTCATTCTTAAGAATTCTTAGACAAAAAAGAAATGAATTTATGTATGACAATCCATCATTGGAAGCTTGTATCAATTTCAAATTTTCATCAGCAAGATGGTATTATATCAGACATTTAATCCATTATTTGTTATTTGCATTAATGATATCACTTATGCTTGGTTTGATTGGCTCCTCCCCCTCCTACCCTTTTGGTGAAATGGATTCTGCAATGGAGTTTTTATATATTATAGTTGATCCAATAACAATCACCATTTATCTTGCTTTAACTGCTTACCTTGGTTATTACTTGTTAGCAATAGAATTAGTACAGACTAAACAGTATAAGATCAAAAAGTATTTGAATTTTTATAATTTTATTGATCTCATATCAATTCTGTTTCCATTTGCTTCAGTGCTTGGAAGTTATATTTTTACAATGAAATTTTTTACAGATTCAATGGTGTTTATAAATGCTGGGGACCCTTCTGTTGAAGACTTTACCGCATTTTTATTAGATTATTTTACTAATTTTGCATTAATACAAACAATTGTTAGTTCATTTGTTGTATTAATTTTGTGGTTGGAGTTTGTAAGTAAATTCCACCTATTTATTTTTAAAAATATATATGATTAATAATAACAACACTAATAAATTTTCCAACAGTTATTATTATTAAGATTTTTTTCACGCCCTGCACATTTTATCAATCTTATAATTGATATTGTAAAAAGTATTTGGCCATTTTTGATTTTTATGTTGATTGTGATTTTTGGGTTTGGTCATGCAATGTAAGTTTGATTTTTTTTTTTAATTAAAATTAAATTATTCATAATAATAATTTATATTTTTTTTAAAGGTATATATTATTACAGTCTGGTGTAACTTACTATGGTTCAAGTCCAAATGTTGATACTTTCAAAATTTATAGTAATGATTCAATGCTTCTTAATAATGACCCTTTACAAAATGTTATCATTAAAAAAGAGTTTGATGAGTTTGATGTAAATGACAACTATTTTGTTTCATTTTGGAAATCTGTGGAAGCTGTTTATTTTTGGCCTGCAGGTAGATGGGATCAAA